TCTCTAACACTAACCTCTTTGCTGTTGTCACAGCTTAACTACGCCTGTAGCTGCCAGTAGTTCTTCACAGGACCCTGATTGGTCCGAACCACAAGTGTATAACTTGAAGCCTGGCAAGATGGATTCTCACCTGATCTTGTGTGCTCTCATGATCTCACAAATCTAGCTGCCTCGCAAAGTAAGTAGACAAGAGTGTGTGTAAGAGTGTGAGCATTTCTTGTGCAAAATCAAATGTCCATTTTCACATGTTCCCCATTTGCCACATGTTACTCCCCTAACCCCTCCTTCTCCACACGGCTTTAGATGAGCGAAGCAGCTAACTCCTCTGGCAGCGAAAGAGAATATTCATGCCAGAAGTGACTATGGGTCTCTTGACATTATGAGGTTAAGCACAAAAGAAACACATATTAAGGCTTAGCTCTGGACTAATATTGGAATGTGACCATGAAAGACATTTCTAATCTGCTCAGCCAAAATCACATTAACTCCCCTCATGTATTTCCTCCACACTAACAGAGCCGGGTCTGGGAACATTTTTAATAGGAAACTTTCCTCTTTACACTGAGGCTGGTGAAGGCGAGTCAGGCGTGGGAGTACAAGAAAATTCTTCATCTGTAACTAATCTACGCTGATTTTAGAAGCGGGGTGGAAATTTTTGTACACTTGTGTATGCATACATGGTTGGAAACAAAGCTCTGCAGTTTTTCTCCTAATAAACACAGCACAGATCTATCAGAGTCACTTTCTGCAGCATGTCAGGGCAAAGAAATACCAGTGGTCCATTCCGAACATGAAACAACTCTCCGGGCAGGAATATAAGAAATGGCACCCTCCTGAAATGTGAAGCCAAGCAGGACGCCACTAGAAGACAGATGATTGGTTGTCAAGATCTCTCTAAGACTCGCTGATCATCACACGAAGCACGCAGTCTCTCTCTCTCAGGTCCCCTGGGGGATTGTGAGAGCTCTGTCTACAAAGCAAGTGAAGGAGAGAGGAGTGGGAGTAAAGAGGAGGTCATTTGGAGCTGCTTTATTCAGGAGAGGGTATGAAAATAAGGGCAGCACACATCACACCCCTCTCCAAACCTATTCATTGCATTCTTAATTACAACGTATGCATTTTCTACCCATATGCCACATTTCCATAAGTGGTGATCATTAGCTGTCGCAGGGGTTTGATCAACGAAATCTGATCGGACACCCTGAATATTATACCCCTGCTTTAGTCTCCTATGTAAATAAACGACAAATTTAAAACAGAAAAATCTAGACAATTTCTAACAAATTTGGACACACCGCCCACTTCCAATGTAAATCCATACACAGCTACAGATAGCACCTTCGTATTAGACCCCTAGTCTGTGCCCTACCTTGGTCATCCCATTCAAAAGGGCTTACACACACCACTGGTGATAGGACTGTTGTATTATGATGACATCCAAATCACAACACATTGTTGTATTTACCTCAGTAATGATAGTATCCATTCATTCATCCATTTTCTATTCCCACTTATCCTGGTCAGGGTTGCTGAGGCCCAGCACACATTGGGCATACCTAAGGGCAAGTCCCAGTTCTGCCCAAGTCTTTGCACAGTGGAAAGATAGCCCAAACAAACATTTGACTTCTTGTTGCTAATGATGAGTAAGTTTTAATAAATACGTAATCAATCTGAGTGACTGACTGCAAAGTTTATTTCAGTCCCAGTATTCTATCTGTATTTCCCATTTCTTTTGTGAACATACACTTTCTCTTTACAACTTGATGTACTACTATTGGACCTGCAGTCTAGGCCCTCCGTATTCTACTGGTAGTGGCTTTAAATAAATAAATAAAAACCTATGTATATACTGGGCTGCACTGGAGGAATACATTCACCAAAGATACTGATGTGGAAAATTGGGTTGGTAAGGAATTTGTAGAGTTGGTTTCAGCCTTCAAATATGTAATTCTGGTCACTTCTCCACCCATGAAAAGTAACAAATTGAATGCAGACTCACTAAACAACAGAGGAGAAGGGGCTTTCTGTTTTGGGAAAACTGGACTATACTTTTTATTTGATATTCTTTGGTAAAAAAAACTATCAAATATTGTTTGCAGTTTACTTACAGTACATAATTTTGCATGATTTCTGGATATTTAAGGCTCTGCAAACTAGCTTTTAGACAAAGTAGTGGCACAAAGTGCAGCTCTGGAAGTTTAACAGTAGTTTTATAGGTAGTGATATCAGACGTAGATATTGTGGCCATGATAATAGCTGTTGGAGTAGCAGCAGTGGGCCTCCAGATAGTCTGCATGAGCTATTCCTAAATAGAACAAAAGCAGATAAGACTCTAATCTCAGTAATGGCATTTTGGCTTTTCTGTCCCCATGGAAACAGATGAGGGTCAGTAAGCCATGATTGTCCTAGTGTGATCCCAAACAACAAAATGGCTGAGAGGCGAGAAATAATGGCTCTCCTCAGAACATGTTTTTTTTTTTCAGCAGTGGAAGAAGAATAATTTTCTACAGCTGGATTACACATACTAATGTTTCACTGTATGAGACAAGATGAATGGAATTACCAGGCATAATGGGATAGACTGTGCCAAAGATGGTGTCTCATACTTTCTGGACAGGTGTTTATGCTGTTTCTCCATGTACACAGAGGCATGCTTCTGCTAATTGCAAAATACTTTGAGTGATAAATTGGACTGCATATGTACATTGCCAGAACAGGTAATGAAACCACTTGGGATGCCAACAGCTGTGATGCAATTTTAAAATTGTGTAAATTAAAAAATACAGATATAAACGCTTTTAGAATCCTGCTTCGGTAATGTGGAAATGCAGCAGGTCAGAGGGGAATGTTGTTCTCACAAAGAATTCAAGGATCCAATTATGTCTTTCTGACTCGGCTACCTCTACACCTCAATCATTCTGAGAACAGAAAGACAGGGAGAGATGGAAAGAAATACAAAGATGGAGTTATAAAAAGAGTATGTGAAAGAGAAATGAAAAGAGATAGGGAATAAAAGAACATTTATCTGGTAAGTGCAGAGCATTGTTGCTAATATTCTTTGACCTGGAATTAATCAATAGGAGATGCCATTAATCTTGACGGACTGTAGTGCATCGCACTGTTTCCATTGTTAGCTCAGGCCCACCGCCACCTCAGTTGCTGCCTGCTTAATTCAGCAGTGCCCACTTTATCAGTCCAGAGCTTTATTATTCACAGGAACATTTGATTTAGCACAGTGTTCAGTTTTAATAGGGTAAACATTGAAAGTCACAATTACAAACATACTGCATTGTGAATCCTCCTTCTTTAAATTTGTTCTAGCTCGCAGGGGTGAATTTCATTTTGACAAAAGGACACAGTATCTACATACATAGATTAAGCCCTGATTCTTCTCTCTAGAAATCAACTTGATACTGTTATGCATGTGTGGTAGATTTGGGATGTGTTAATACAAGATGTATGGTTATATCATAATTTGTACAAAGGGTAGTAGGGTAAAGCAGATGTGTTTCCTCTAGTAACTTAGAGACTAGGTGAGCAACAGAGAAGTGTGTTTGCCAAGAACTGAATATGCAGCTGTTTCATTGTTTGTCTTAGTACAGAAATGATGCAGATTAGGAGACACTGAACACTTATACAAGAAGAATAAGAAGAACAGATGGTTTCCTGTAAATGATGAGTTTCTGAGTTCAGTTTTTGAGAAAGGTTAAGAGGCCAGAACAATGGGACAATAACAACTCCTTATGCCAAGTATGCTGAAATGGTGATTTCGTCCATGTAGGAGTATGCATTTTTTCATCTTTGAAATACATTGAAAGAAGTTATAGTTGTATTATATGTATCATATTGTGTACATGTACTTTAATGCATACATTTTTATGTTCTGTGTATGGAGACATCCAGGTATTGATCATTGATGGATGTTTCTGCTAGATTAATGAGTGATTAATTGTTTCTTAGTAAGAAGGCGTGGACAAGAGGAGGATATGTTCTGTGGAAAAAAATCTGTTAAATTCAGATTGAATGCAGATTGTTTTGCTCTGCAGATCAAAGGATCTCCATGGTCCTGTGTATATTTTTTAAAATAAACTATATATTAATATATTACAAAATTGCTTCCCAGTCTCCTCAGTTTATTTCTGCTCAGATGGAGAAGTGGTATTTAATTATCTACAACATATGCTCAAACGGATTCCAATAAATATGGAGTAAATTTTGCTCGCTGCTTTCAGAACAGACAGTAATAGATGAAAACTACAACAGGACAGTGTTCAATTGGGACACTTTCAATGAATTAAATCCAAGTAATTACCAGCATAATTAGTATAAATTAAAAAGTCTTCCTGTCAGTGCATGGCAGGTAATGTAAACATGCATAAATGTGAGATTTGTCTAAATACAAGCAAACAAATATGGAGAGTGAAAAAATTCCAAACGTACATTGTATATGAATAAATATTATTGAATAAAATTATTTCCATTTAAATAAGGCACTTCATTCCTATTTTGACTATAATTTGCACCAAATTACATATTCTTGCACTGCATGAAAAGCGGGATTTTCGTCCCTGTAAACTGCCTTGAATCCCTGGCAGTTATCAGCCATTTACAGCGCTGCATGTTTGCGTTCACCTGTGCCAAAAATCGTTGGGGGCTTGCGGAGGCCTCTACTAACAACTCTACTAAGCAGCAGCAGTCCGACTTGGCTTCTCAGTCATTAGATGAAACCAATGACATCACCAAATCATCTATCACATCTGATTGGTTGGTAGATCTGTCGCTATTGGCTACCCTGGGCAAGTACAGGCTTGGGTAAACCCCTCCCTAATAATATTAATAATAATAAAAATGTATAATTCATTATCCTGCATTAAATAAATACTACACTTACTGAAGACTATATTCATGTAATATGTTACATGTAGCATTCATGCTATTACACTAATCAAGCACATGAATTTATGAGGCACATGTTGATAAAAAAAAAATTTTTATTTGTTAAAAAGGCAAATGTGAAAAACCATTTACAAAACATTAAATGCTGGGCTGCGGGACGAAGTTTCTGTCCACCTCTGAGTCATGTGGTGGTGGCGGCTGTCAGAACATCATCCATTGTACAGATGCCTGTGATGCAGTGTTTTGTACTTTGGCCTCCAGCCTTGTCTGCAGCGTACAAAAGAGGTCGGTGAGCTCCTGGCTGCCGAAACTTTGGTTGCACAATCCACCGCGACACCCCCTCAAAGCTGCAATCTTCCTCATTTGACATCAGATCTATAGTGACACCATTCAGAACGCCAATTCATCTGCTGCCAGTGCACTCTGCCTCAATTCCAACAGCTGTAAACACAAACAGAACAGACAATCGGTACTGCACGCTTACAAGGTAGGTTTTCATTTGCTACAAAGCAGACAATATACAGTTTACAAAAATAATCACAGAATGAAACAGAAATAAATTATAAACTTTTTTTATATGAGAAAATATAATAGATAAATGTTTTTATGAGATAAAGACTGACCCCGAATAGTCGAAGATACGATGCTTCGATGGGCGAAGCCTGATTCGACTATCAATCTCACAGTCGAGGCTTCGCAGTGAAACAAGGATCATGCCATTTTGGCAATATGGGGGTGCTCAACGTCTGATTTTACAAAGAACTATCTGTTTTCTCTCAATAAGTTAATATACAGCTTATTACCATATACATTTCAACGTTTAATGCTGTAAATAAACATAGAACAAGAATAAAACTTTCAATAAATGTTTTTGAAGTGCGTGAATAAATCCAAAATTGTAACCTTAACCCTTGGTCGTCAGTGTGCATGTGTAGGTGTAGCGTGTATGTGTGTAGTGGCAGTGGAGGAACACTTGCTGAAGAGACGGAGCTCCAGCTTCACTGGTGTTGTGCCCAGTTGTTCGCACTGCGCTTTTTTTCAGATAATTTATCACCGTTGAAGAACCACATAAAGAATATTTTATCATTTTTAAATAGCCGGCTACTTGAAATAGACCCGCGAGGAACCGCGATGTGCATTCAGTTGTCGGCAGCAGTAATGCACCTACAACTCTGCACCGGTGAATGACAGGCAAGAGAGAGAGAGAGAGCACCTCAGTTTAGCTGGAAATTTACATTGTAAATTGAACGAAAAGAGACTGCAGCTCTGCAGCTTCACAAGATTAAAGCGGAGCTACCATGTGTAACCCACCCCCCCCAGAAAACACAGAGGAGCAATAGAAAGCATCCTGACTGGAAATATCACAAACTGGCATGGGATGTGCACGGCCCAGGACCGGAGGGCTCTGCAGCAGGTGATTAAAACTGCTCGGAAGATCATTGGTACCCATCACCCAAGCATCAGTGATATCAGTGAAGTGAGGTGCCTACACAGAGCCCAAAGGATACTAAAGGACATTGCCCACCCCAGCCACAGCCTGTTCACCCTGCTGCCTTCTGGGAAGAAATATAGAAGTTTCTGTTGCTGCGCCACCAGACTGCAGAGCAGCTTTTCCCCCCAAGCTATCAGACTCTTAAACTGCAGTATATCCTCAGCACTGCTCCAGTGATCATTGAATATTATTTATTTCTGTTTACCATTTTTATAATTGCTTCTGTATTAATGTCTATTGTCTGCTATGTAGCAGAAGGAAGTAACAGCTCAATTTCATTATATAACCTGTTTTATTGTGATAATAAATGTACCTACCTATGTTTCATGGAGCGGTGCTGATGAATTTTAGTCAGAGTTCAAACGTCTCACAGCCTGGGGTAAACAATACATCTCACTGAAAAATAATGTCACATTGGCCAACAATGAATCTATTCCAACAAATCTTATCCTCTTCCTTCTCGAAATAGCATAGCCACAGTACAAAAAAATGTAATAAAACACCACATTAAAAGTTTGCTAATTACACACAATGGCATCACGATCCACACCGTGTAAATCCGGAGACCAAAAATGATGTGACCACCTCATATATGGCGAGCACAGTCTGTGAAAACAAAAGTACGGCCAAAGAACAATCAAAACTATTTACATTTATACAGTTCAATGCATTCCTGTTCCCTTGCTCAGCATCAAGGCGCTTGCAGTTTCCCTCAGAGTTGTGCAGGAGACGGGCCGCTTCCTATGAATATGCCAAGACAAAAAGTCACTTTTTTTGAACAAACTTACACTGACTTTGGCTGGTTTTAGCTTATTAGTGAAGTCTTACCACAATTTTTGGATTGTTCACTCGTCTTTTCATCTTGTTGTTCCACATTTGAGCAGCTGTTGTATTTAAGAACAGTCCCTCCCTGGCAACATTCTGGCGTTCAGTGCAGAGAACTGCTGACTCACATCGGCTTCTGCAAACAATTTTACAGAAGATCAAAAACAGAGTTATGTAAAACAAGAGTCATCAACTTACTCTCGTTCCAGTGTGCAGCCTGCGCTCCAAGACACACACCAGGAACTCAACAAGTATACAGTATATCTCCCCTCTAAATTAAACAGAATATTAACAAAATTGTCCTTTAAACGGGTCAGTTTAAACCTTTAAAAGTCAACATCAAACATAAAAACAAAACAATCAGCAGAAATACAACTTGGAAAGACATTAGAAAAATAAATCAACTACATCAAACAAGCAAATAAATTGAAATTCATATACAGGGCCCAATATTACATTACTTTGTTATTCAAAGATAGAAATTCGCAGTTCAATTCTTATATTTAGATGCACTAAACTCATTAGAAAGCATCTGTGATTCCATCTAGCAACCACGGCTAAATAAACCAGCTCATCCAACAGCATACAATGAACTGACAAAATAACATTTTCCGAACAATATTTACACACAAAGAAACATCTCCACACCTGTAGTTTTTACAGAAACACAGGCAGACATGAGCTGTGTGTGGGGGGTATACGTCTGCTAAGATGGCTACCTGATATAACAGCAGAGAAACATGCTGTTAAATAGGTACGATGGCGTTTCTAACGCTTCTTTCCTGCGGACCTAGCCTGCTAGCATAAGCATGCTAGCGTTAGTCTTATATCTGAAGCATAGACTGTGGGTGCGTTCCGATCGCCCTGTAGTTCCCTGCTAAGAGGACTGCACAGGGTATTCGGCCATTTTAGGTGAGATTCCAAATCCGCAGGGAGCACAGCATGGGCCTTTCCGAAACTGCCTGCTACTCCCTCTCCCTACCTACTTCCACTCCATTTGCACGTTCATGCGGAGGGTCCGCCTATGTAAGATTTGATTATTTTTATTGAATAGTGAAGGTCATTGCCTTTTTATGTTGTGATAACTGTCAAGGAAACAGTTACATAATTCAGGAAACTCACAAACAGCAAGGATCAGTCTCTGTCTAAGACAATTCAACTCTGACAGCAGGCGGGCATGTGCGTGAAACGAGCACCACCGCAACAGCTCCACGGGATTGTGCCGGCTTGTCTCTCTAAGTGATAGATTGCCCATGCTTCCCTTCTTAGCAGCTCGCCTCTCATTGAAGATAAATCACTAGGCGTGGCAATCGCTTCCCGTCTATAAAGGCCTTACTACTTTATGACACCAACACCACTCTTCAGCAAGCAAGCTATAGTAAGCAAAAAGTATATGATGTACTATATAAGTTCTTTGGAAGACGCTAGCTTGGTATTCTCAGTATGGACATCAGAGGCTGTAAAAGAGACAGAACATGACATTGTCTGAGGAAGAGAAAAAGAAAGAGTGACTGAGCAAGAGACTGGACAAGAGTAAATACTGGACTGGCTAGACAGAAGAGGATGTTGAAGGAGGAAGCTAAGAAGAGAAATAGAGAGTGAGCAAGCAAGAGGCTGCCAGACATTGGCAAGAGCTTCGTGTAATAAAACGCTGCAAGACAAACGCTGAGCTGATATTCTTTCTGTGTGCGCAGTTGGACCAGTAAGCAATATTGCTATGTATTGTGTTGTCACACTTGCTTGATGTTTGGCTGTATTAGCACAGTTGTCGACTTGCTAGTTTTTGATCGTAATATAATCTAAACAAATGTACGTGTACAACAGTCCCCATTTATGACAGCGGTGAATTACACCCTGAAACGGGCCGCAAACTGATTTCTTCATCAGGTAATATTCAACACGTATCTACACTTTGCCTGATTAGACCCAAGTGTGAATCCCAGGTCGAGCAAATCTGTCACGTCAAACTGCCTGAAAGACAGATCATCTGAATATAGTTATGTAGCTAGTAAATATAATTATTATACTGGGCTAAATTTTACCACAACAATTGGGATTAGATGTCTACAAAATTTCCATCAGACGATATCTGCAATGAGACATCGGGATGGACGATGTCATCGGGTGCGCACTGACCCAGAATGCTGAATGTATTTTCATTTTCTACGAAGCATAATCTGCTGGTGGTGAGCTTGAACAGACTTTCAAGCAAGAGTCATAATTGACTTCTTTCTTTTATGTCCACAGTTGCACCTTTGACTTTTTTTTTTTTAATCAAAGACCGGATATTTAGAACGCAGTTGCTCATCGTACTGATGATTCAAACTGGAAAGCTTCATGTCCATTCAAGCCTTGGAGGTCCCCCAAATACAACTCATCTAGCATTGTCTGTGCAGAAAATCAGTGTGACTTTTGATTTGAAAACTGCAGATCTTCAATTCTTGACTGAACTTTTATACACATCCTCTGGTTTTCACTCACTTGTGCCATTGTGCAACCCCAAATGAATGAAACCGTATGGTCAAGCTGGTGCAAAATGACTACAAAGCAAAGGACAGTTTTGCCACAAAGGAGACATGAGTAATCAGAGTGGAGAAATGTCCTTTGGGCTCCTGCCGCCTTTTGCATTGATTGGATAGAGACATAATTAAAAGCGACAGCTGTACAATCAATAACAATCCGCCCACTCACCCATGGGCAAGACTGCAGACCACACTCTCAGCACCATCTCTCTCTGTCTTTCACACACACACACACACCATACACACCTCTTGGTAGTGGACTGAGGAGTAGTGATTCGAAGCGTGACAAACGTGTCATGCAGCAGCAGCAAACGTTACGTAAGAGAGTCATCCCCGCCTGGCTTGTTCTCTCTCTCTCTCAGTCAGTGGCTCTCACCTCCAAAGGGTAGGAGTGAGGACTCAGCGAAAACAGACAGAAAACACCCCTGAACAGCTAATGTTGGATCTGAAAGCCTCGCATGTGCTCTCATCTCCTCATGCTTTCATATGTCATTGAGGCTCATATCAACACTTTGGCCCATTGGTTGAATCATACTGTGAAAACTGCAGGGAGGAGGCAGAGGGTGCCAGTTAGAAGGCACAACAGACGTGTTGTGCACATTTCATAATAATGACACTGTAAGGTTGCCAAGTTGTTGCTTTGGGTTTTTTTTGTCAGCATAATTCTGTTTCTGTTTTTAGAATTTTTTTTATTTTTTTATTTTTGGCACAAAGTGGTTTAAGAACCAACTGAAACTGGAATGAATAAAAGCTTCAACATGTGACATATACACAAAACTGAAATTAAATATTCAGTACTAATGGATGAATATGAGAGGAAAGGGCAGTCAGAATAGCTCTTGCTCAGAATCTAAAATAAGTTGTGGAGGCCACAGTGAATGCCCACATTAACACTGTAGCATTAGTGGGTGGATAATGCACAGAGAAAGATGCTTTCTCATTAGATGACAATCCTTTAATGAGACCTCATGATGGTGACTGTGTGAGGCTGTACTTACCATTTACTAACATCAGCATTATGATGTTAGTAAATGGTAAGTACAGCCTCACACAGTCAGAGCTTATAATGTTTAACATGTTTACAACTTAGTTTAGCATGTTAGCATGCTAACATTTGCCAATTAACACTAAACACAAAGCACTAGACAGATTAAAATCTTCTTTTTTGCACAAGTTAATCTTATATATATATATGATATGTTGGGCAAAGGCTAAATGGTGTGAGTAGGACTTCTGTTACATTGCCCACCGCAGTGGTCCGGGACATCACTCTTCAGTCCTCAGGAATTTTGTTTAAAAACTTCAGCAGCCAAACTCACATTAAAGTATATATACACTCACTCACCACTTTATTAGGTTCACCTTGCTTGTGGCATGTTGGACCCCTTTTGCCATGAGAACTGTCTTAATTCTTCGTCACATACCTTCAACAAGATGTTGAATCTGTCTATCTGTGTCTCACAGTTCTGCTAAGACTCTTCTGCCATGCTAGCAGATCTGTGAGAATGTATATTGGCACAGCTGTGTTTTGAGGTAAATGCTGATATTAGCATGCATACAGTTTTTTTACAACCAATAACATCATTGTATCCGATCTGTAGTCACATTTTCAAAATTACCACAATATCAGTCTGTTCATACCATACCATTAACACAATTCATGTTGTTTCCACAGAATATGCAGCCAATTAACCCTTTTCTAAAATGCTTTTGATAAAGGATTCAATAGGAAACTATACACTTGTACAGAAAAATTTAGACTGAGTAGAGTCCAGTGGTCCAGCAGAAGCAGAAGTTGTTGTCTCCTACAGATGACCCTGGGTACTGCAATGGATATTCTTACAACTCATGAGAGGCAATGTTGCTACCGCCACTTGCTGGTGTAGCTAATAAACTGCTCTCACATTTACAGATCTCTGTTTACAGATGTCTGTGGTATAGAGTGGATAAAATTCCACATATGCGTAACAGGAAGTCACAAATGTAAAATGACCTGCAAATTGAAAGGAAATGATCCGCAAACGTGCAAAAACTATTTTGAGTGTAAAAATAGATCCATAACTGCGTAAATAACACTTTGTATGTGAAATTAAAATATGCGTGTACAGAGTAAATTGTACATATTTGCAAGTTGCACTGTATTTTTGTGGATATGATTTTACACAACACAAATATAAAAATACATATTTTGGGTAGTGAGATATTTGTTATTTTACAGATCTCCGCAGAACACATTGGACAAAATTCCACAAATGTGTAAAAAGGAAGTTACAAATGTAACATGACCCACAAATTGACAGCAATCTGCAAATGTGCAAAAAATGTTTTTTCTGAACTCATTATTACACATAAACACAATCCCAGGTTTCTGTTTAAGACTGTGGATCAGCTGGTAAACCCAACCCCTCCTTGTGCCTCAGATGGAAGTAATGATGACTGTGAATTGTTTTTATCTTATTTTACCACTAAGGTGGTGTCAATCAGAGCCTCTATTACCCCCACGAGCTCTCACTCAGAGGTTCCTCACCAGCAACAAGAGTTTTAACCAGTTTTATCCCATCGACTTGTCTGAGCTTTTAAAAACAGTATCACAAATGAGTGTCCTCCAGCCAAA